ACCTAATATTTCCTGTCAAATTCAAGTCGGAACTTTGGTGGGCCAGTTTTCTAATTCTCTAATGTTGTCACTTAAACCATTTTTCATACATTTTTCATACATGTGATATAGTGTGTTATCTTGCAAAAAAACTATATCCTTCAGGATTATCTAGTTCTATCAAGCTTGTTCATCATCTAATATTTTTTTAATTTTCTTGCACACCTTAATTCCTTTTTGAATATAATGAAGTTTTCCAACTCCTTGCACAGTAGTGTAACTCCAGACCATTATTCTATCTGATAACTACAGGTAGCCCTCGGTTTACGCCAGCTCAATTTACGCCGATTCACAATAACGCCGTTATGCAATTTGCTGTGTAATTCCCCGATTTTCCCTATGCCAGACTGATTTTCATTTCAGTGTTGACGTATTTACCAAGCCGTGACATTGTACATTCATTAAAACAAAGATTTTTATTGAATATATTTATTTTTTTCTGTTTAATATTATTGGGTATGTATACATTTGTATTAAGTTAATATTAAAACACTAAATGTTTAGGTACCCACGAGTCAAGTTATCAAACTTAATAGTCCAATAAATGGCGTCCGAATCCATAGTGCCAATGAATGTATCCCATATCAGTTCATTTAGGAAAACACCTTATGATGCAGTAGCACTTACGGAGATCACAAACTATCGTTAGTGAGACAAATCTACTTCTCGTTGGCCAGACAATATCTATCTCTCCTTATCCATCTTCAATTTTCCCGCTCAAACTGACCTTATACATGCACTACGGCGACCGGTGGTCGACCAATCAGTGTCTCCACTCGTCCATAGCTCTACGTCAGGTTAACGTATCCTTTCAACTATGGAAAGTTTGACAGATGAACTTTGTGAGTTAGACAATAATTGGAAGCGAAGTGCAAATGTAAAAAGAAACATCATCGCATCCATTTGACCATATTCCGAAATTCTCNATTTTTAAAAAAATTTGTTAGGCTAAACATCAATGAAAATTCAACGCAAAGTTGGTTAATAGTGATATACTAATAAACTAATTACATGGGATATCCTAATATACTATACTAATAATGTATTTTTTCCTTCTTTACGGTTATCCGACCAACCGAGTCCCCAATTGAGTCGGATAATAAAATGCTCTACTGTATTATACAGCTTGATGTATATAATATCCTTCTTAACAAGAACAATGTTTAAAATATTATAAGGGCTTTCTGTATGTTAAAGTGCTATGTTCATCTGTTGTAAGGTATTTTTTAAACTATTTAGAGTACAGATTAACAGAATTTAACTTTTGACTAGTTGACAGTTCAAACCGTTAAAGGCGCATTGATTAAATTGACAGAATGACTAGTGGCTAGATTGTCCTTAATAGAAAGTCTTTTAACCTCATTCGTTATGACATCATCTCTTAAATTTTGATTAATAAATTGGTGAATAACTTGGCAGTTTCAGTATATCATTCATTATGCTGTTTATATTAAGCTGCTTAATAAACTAGATGAGACTAATTATAGATATTAGATGGCTGGGTGGCCAAAGCAGTTAAGGCACCAGCCTACCATTCTTGGAACCCAGAATTGAATTCAGCAGACGAAAACCCCAAGACTTGTGGGGTGGTCTGTCCAAAATATCAGGCCCAACTGTGAACCTGACCACACGATGGAATTTTCTTCAAAATTTGCCATACTTGATTTTACTGTCAATTTATAATTATAAATGAAAATAAGAAGTTCTAAACATTACAGTTTCATTTCAACAAAAAGATAAATTGAAGATAACCTTTACATTGAAGAACAATGGGGATTTCAGAGATGTATATTTCTTAAGTTAATTGAGTATAACATGTGTCACTCAAAGTCCCTCTATGTGCAAACTCCTGGTCACTTGGCACAAATCCAAGCAATAATTAAACTCTGCCAATTTAAGCACATCCAGTATGATAATGAACACTGTATATCATGCAATAGTTAAAGACATGCAACTATTCTACAAAAGGAACCCCCAAGGTATATCAACTCTTATGTATTGGGAAGGACAAACAAAATGAATATAGGATTCCTGGATAAGAGTCCTGACATGGCACTTTACTGTGCCAGGTCAGGACTCAGATTCAACATGTTAAAAGAATATGTAGATCATCATCCCACCCTCTCCTAGCAAGACTGTGAACATAAGACCAATGTAAGGAAAGGGCTATTTATTTGCCTATGCCGACCCTGAGACAGGTGGGTAGATCTGAAAAGGTTAAAAAAAAATGTTTGTTTTAACATATCTGCTGAAGTTTAAAGGTCGGTGAGAAACATTTTTGATTTATTATTTGATTTTAACAATGAACTCTGGTCAAATATTAAACTGACTTCTGGAATGTCTTACAGGAAAGGTGTGGAACCTATTTTTCATTTAGAAAGCCATATAAAAGATATAAGACTGCATGTTGTATTGTACATATAACATTCAGTATACATACAAATATATTAATTACACACAGTGACTTCTAATAAATAAAAATATCTAAAAAGTGAACAGATGCCTGAGAACAGTATTATATCATTTCATGCTTTATTGGGCCATTCTACAAGCCATAAATTCCATACCAATGTAAACTTTGTATCTTTAAGTTCTAGTCAATAATCAGCTACCAATTTACTATAGCATTTTACTGAAATTTATTTTTCTACATTCAAACAGGAGTTCTAAATTACAGTAAAACCTCTCAAACTCAAATATTTCTTTAACTCAAAGAAAACAAAGCACTTGGTAAGTCTGAAAGGAATAGTGTCGGGATTTAATGTCTCCAACTTAAATTTTCTCCAAGTCAAAGTTTTTCATGGTTCCCTACACCAATTTATGTTACTTTCAACTTCCTTGATTCAAATTTCAACATACAGGTAACCCCTGTATAACACGGCACTTCTATAGCACGAATTCACTCTAACATGGTTAGAGAATTGGGAACATCCTCCATATAACAGTGCTTTTATAGCATGGATTCACTCTAACACGCTTTGGGAATTGGGTAAAACCCTCGTACAACATAAAATGTAATAAAGGGTGCGTTCTTTTATACCTCTGCACGAGCATTATAATTGTTTTCGTGGCTACTTTGAATGCTCTTTCAACAAATAATCCATTTAATGGTTAAATTTTACAATTGGGACCCTTTTGCCTCTAAAAGTTCATTTTAGAATTATAGATTCCTCCACACGATACTATCGATAATGAGGGCGCCGCCATCTTTCTTTCACCATCATTCCTAAATGCCTACAAACAGCGGCGCACTCCTGTTGCAGAGCGACCGCTATTAATGAAGGCACCTAAAAACTGTTACCAGTTGATGATGCTCATGCTGAGATCATCATATAAAATGAATAATCCTCTGGTAAAATATTTACTTAAATAATAAATAAGTATTTTACCTATGAAAAAAATGAATAATAAATCCGATTTAAATAAGGATTTAACAACATGCTTTTTAATTTTTGGAACCTAACCCCTCTTTTTGCACTAGTTCTTTGTTTTGTATAACACGGCAATTTTTTGGAACATAACTCCCGTGTTATACGGGGGTTACCTGTATATTCTATCTAAAGTGATCCTAATTATCGGATTTCCATGAAATTTTCAGACAGTTGTATCTACTCTCCAACACCAATTGAGACTATGTTCCAGTCCAAAGTGAGGTCCTCTCACTTTATCTTGACAAAAATAACAGTACCTGCAAAACTGTTTGATTCCATTAGCTACATTGAGCATTTTGCTGAAAGGCATTACACGGGCTGTTTAAAACAAAGAAAAAAAAAATACTATCAAAGATTCTTTACACAATGCAAGAGAGGTAAAAGTACAAATCTATTCAGAATCAGCATTTTACTCTATTGTACTGTAATTCAAAGTTTTTCCCTGCCTTTAGAACTTTGTTAGAGAAGTTTTACTGTACTTTTTAAATTCTATAAACAAAACACAAGTTACTTTAATGTGATAGCTATCAGTTCATGTAATTAATTAAATTTTATTTATGTTCGTTTATATTAAAACTTGAGCAATTTATAAGGGAATTTCATGGATGGCCACATAAGATTATAGTGTTCTACTTTACAACTGATTTATAATTTGGCTAGTATTCCACTCACTAAATCAACAAAATAGTTGTACTTTCAGATGATATATAATAAAGCTTTTATAAACAATGCATGTATTTCTTAAGAAAGTTCCTCAAATGTAAATCTAATTTAAACAACTTTATTCAGAGAAATTATTCTTAAATAATTAACATAGCTCCATGTTCATCGTCAGGAGTCAACAAGAGATATCTCGTTGATTTCTGACGATGGACACATAATCCAAAGCATTAGTTTGCTCCAATAACAGCAGTTATAAGTAGATATATGTTTTATACATTAAAAGAAAATAGTCAAATATCATATTATTCCAAAAATAAAATATGAAAAGTGTTAATTTAAGACTATATTTTAAAAAATGTTTCATATTTAAAAGAAATAACTGTCAAAAAAAAGTTAAATTGTCATTTAAAAAATAAGATCAAACTACTAAATTCGAAAAATAATCAAAATAGCCTTTTCTTTTGAGGAAAAATATGTCGAAACACAAGAATGACTTGTAGCCATTAGCATGCAATGACTTTTATTATACGCTTATGAAAGTACTACAAAATTTTATATATTATATACTGTATATATTTTTTATATATATATATATTTATATATAACTTGTGTTATGTACAGAGCAATTGCCACCAATGGCTTAGAAATACATCCATTCAAATAATTACAATAGAAACATATAAAACTCATTTTGTGTCGGGTAAACATCTTTCTTTTCTAAGTACTAAATTTTATGATTTTGCTAGATTAATTTTGAACCACTGACTTTGATCTGACACTTGAAATAAATAAGCCTAAAACTATAATTCCGTCCACGGGAGTAGGAATTAATTTTTCTTAATGTCTTTTCTTACCAATTTTGATGTCTTTTTTTTTTGTTTTTATATCTATTTTTAGATGAAGACAGTTATTGGCACATCACAACAATGCGCGGAATGTATGAGATGAAATTTTAAGAATGGCTAGCTTAAAAATTTTAAAATGTGCATCGTTTTATCAAAATAATAAATCGGAGATACGTATATGAACAATTATTTAAAGAGTATATTTTCGTTTTAAATGGAAGAATAACAATAAGAATTTGGAAAAAATTTCGTTAAGTGCAACAATGTTTTTTTTTTTCTTCTTTAATCTCATTTCTTCGTACGAAATTTCTGAACATTTCATAAAATTTCTGGGATAAATGTGTATTAATACTTGAAAATTTGTTCAGACTATTTAATATTAAGATTTTATTCTGATTTTCGTATCTGATGTAAAAAAGAAAATTAAAAACAGAAAAAAAAGGGAGAGAGAACAGAAAACCAGAACTTCAAAAATGAATTTTTTTACATTATCAAACACCCGTGCCTAAGATAAAATTACATTCGTAAAGTATCGACAGATTTTACTCAATGCACAAAATCTGCAATGCCTCCTATCGACAATATTTCACATGCAAAACTTATACAATGTTTTTAAATCTGTTATTTCTGCTCAATTGGCAACTTAAAAGGCAATAAAAGATATTAAATCTCTCTTGTTTTATCCAAATGAATAGTTTTACAAGAGTAATAAATAATTGCATGTACAAAAATCAGCTGAAATAACATCATCAATGATTTTTTTCTTTTTTTTTTTTTTTTCATTTTAATCTTACATTTCAACATGACTTTATATAGATTTTTGAGTTTCATGCTTACGAATATCATTCAGTGTGCTCGAGATTTAGAATGGGAAATCAACCACTGCAATGTTATATCTGAAAAATTATTGGAAAGTTTTTTTAATTATAAATGATTTTAAATTGTTTTTACTTTTAATATATTTTTCTCTTAAACTTTATATAATGAAATAATATAAAGATTTGTTTCGTGTGCCTCACCTATATTATCTTTTTCCTTGCAGGATATGGAATAACAGCATATTTCACGATCTTGTATAGCTTGTAAATTCCTGTAAATATATTCATTTTATTATGATAAACTCAATTACAATAAATGTGATTTCATATGTATGACACACTACAATCTCACTAATTTAAACTAATTGTTATATGGAATTGTGAAGGTTATACACAGTGGAGTGAAAATAAACTGAACTTTTAATATAATCTTTGTTAGTTTAATTGTTAAGTATTCATTGTACATAAAATTACTTTCAAAATAAGCATCTGCAGCTGTGCATATCTTGCAGCTCATTCTGTGTTACTTCTTTGAGCACAATTGTCAGAATGCATTTTCGAGTCGTCGTGAAGAACGACACGTGGAGCCACACCATTTGCCATATGTTTGGGCAATTTTCAAAATATCAACCAGATCATCTAGTGATTATCTACGATCCTTTTTATCTCTGAAAGTTCGGGAAATTGTTTCTTCATTTCTTACTGAAGTCGGCTGACACAGACGAGTTTGCTTTATGTTGATTCACAGCCTTCTTAAGCAGATTAAATATTTTTATAAAGCTTGACACAGAATTTAATATTGGTTTGCTGTTCATAATGCATCATCTCAGAATTCCAACAGCACACCCATACATACTCTTAATACTTTGACATTTTGTGTCTTAATTTATCTGAATACATAAATCTACATGTGTCAAACAAGTACTGATATATGTAACAAAATATTTATGTGCACATCCTCATAATTACAACTGTTGCTAGGAAACGTCAAAAGTTTGGTACTGTTAACAAACTTCACTATATGAACACTGGATTTTATGCTTTGAAAGTTAAATGATTATTATTTTCCACATTTTTACATATAAAAAGATAACACAGGTATTCAGTATTACTTAACGTAAATGTATGCAATGGCTATGAAGAAAATCAACAGCTAATCAAAACACTAATTTGAATCTTTGAATTCTATAATAATATATAACTAATGCTAGTTAAATTCTGTTTTTCATCTATAAAATTACATTTGAGATAAAAACAACAATGAATATTGCTGCATTATAGAAGAATATTAAGTGAAAATCTTTCTGAAATAAGCTGTACATTACAATCATCTATAACTAATAATTACAGATGAATATAATAATATTGAAATTAAAAGAATTTTATGAATTTTTTTAGATTATTCTATAATAAAAAAAAATCCTCAAATTATTTTTACATAAACGAAACTTACATCTGTTCAATTAAGTCTTTTTCATCTAGAGCACTTTCGAGATCTCTCTTATTTCCGAGAACAAGAACGGGTATTCCAGCCAACTGTGGTTTATCCAAAAGATTATGTAACTCGTTGCGAGACGCTTCAATTTTTTCATGATCCGCAGCATCCACCATATATCTGAAAGTCAATAGATTTTTTTTTTATAATTTCACTGAAGTATTTTTAGAAAATACGTAATTTAAAGCTACTTACACAATAGCATTAACGCCTCTACAGTATCTTTCCCACATGCTACGAAATCTTGGTTGGCCCCCAATATCCCAGATCTGTAACAAAAAAGAAAATTTAAATATCTCTTATCATAAAAATATATCATTATGCTAAGGAATTCAGTTCGTCAAAATATGGCTACTTTGAGATTTGAAGTGAAAATTCTGTCCAAACTGCAATATGCTTATGTTAACCTGTTTGTTTAGATTGAAGTGCCTTCGTGCTATGTGAGAACAATAGACCAAGAACAGCTCTAATCTGGTCAATATGCTTTTCGAATAACACATTTTTGGGTGTCACCTTATACACAGACTACCATTTTTTCTCTTACCTTGTAGAATACGGCTAGTTTTCGGGATTGTGAGATTGGCCTATAAGTAGCAGATTGAGTTATTTGTAGGGCTCTTGGCTACTATATTTGGGAAACACACTATTTTTTACGCTACTTTAAAAGTAATTTGGGCTAAATTTTGAGGAATTCTGCTTTACTTTTTATAAAACCTATCTGGCAACCTGTGGGGTTCTTACTGGACACGTGTTGTTTACTTGCAGTTTATTTATATTATTATCAATAATTAAGAAAAATTGCATTTGGTATACATAGCCATATTCCATTTCCTTAATAAATTACAACAATTACATGGCATTTGCATATTGTACAGAAATATGGAAATATGTAAAGGCAGAAATACAAGAATGCTACATACAGGATTTCCTGTACGTAGCATTCTTGTATTTCTGCCTTTATTTTTTTTCTCACTTGTATAATAGTTGTTCAGGCATTAACTCTAAGTTTATTAATAAATTTACATTATGTATATTTCCTGAAATTTTGGATACATTTTACCAGAATTTCAATATTTGGACTATGCAAATTTTGATAACTTTCTTTGTATGTAATACCTAATATTTCCTGTCAAATTCAAGTCGGAACTTTGGTGGGCCAGTTTTCTAATTCTCTAATGTTGTCACTTAAACCATTTTTCATACATTTTTCATACATGTGATATAGTGTGTTATCTTGCAAAAAAACTATATCCTTCAAGATTATCTAGTTCTATCAAGCTTGTTCATCATCTAATATTTTTTTAATTTTCTTGCACACCTTAATTCCTTTTTGAATATAATGAAGTTTTCCAACTCCTTGCACAGTAGTGTAACTCCAGACCATTATTCTATCTGATAACTACAGGTAGCCCTCGGTTTACGCCAGCTCAATTTACGCCGATTCACAATAACGCCGTTATGCAATTTGCTGTGTAATTCCCCGATTTTCCCTATGCCAGACTGATTTTCATTTCAGTGTTGACGTATTTACCAAGCCGTGACATTGTACATTCATTAAAACAAAGATTTTTATTGAATATATTTATTTTTTTCTGTTTAATATTATTGGGTATGTATACATTTGTATTAAGTTAATATTAAAACACTAAATGTTTAGGTACCCACGAGTCAAGTTATCAAACTTAATAGTCCAATAAATGGCGTCCGAATCCATAGTGCCAATGAATGTATCCCATATCAGTTCATTTAGGAAAACACCTTATGATGCAGTAGCACTTACGGAGATCACAAACTATCGTTAGTGAGACAAATCTACTTCTCGTTGGCCAGACAATATCTATCTCTCCTTATCCATCTTCAATTTTCCCGCTCAAACTGACCTTATACATGCACTACGGCGACCGGTGGTCGACCAATCAGTGTCTCCACTCGTCCATAGCTCTACGTCAGGTTAACGTATCCTTTCAACTATGGAAAGTTTGACAGATGAACTTTGTGAGTTAGACAATAATTGGAAGCGAAGTGCAAATGTAAAAAGAAACATCATCGCATCCATTTGACCATATTCCGAAATTCTCAATGAAAGAAAACAAAAAATGTAAACAAAGATGGATACTTTTTTCTGAAAAATGTAAGAGATCCGAAACTAAAATTTTTTAATAAAAACATTTCACTTTATTTTATGATATAAATTTTTAATTTTTAAAATATATTTTATGTATTTTGTATTATATTGTAGTAATAAACAAAATTATTTGCTTATTTTTCACTTATGTAGAACCTAACCCTATATCTCACTGTAAATTTGGGTTTGTTTTACGCCAATTCGATTTGTGCCGGCTTTTGTAGGAACAGAACTGTGGCATAAACCGAGGGCTACCTGTATAGTTTTTGTTAAGCAGTCATTTCTAAATGCTTCTCCTGACCTCTATAAACACAATTTGGATTGATATGATGTCAAAGAAGATTTAGATTTGCCAAACCATATTACTTTACTCCAATCCATGCTCTCGTTGTCATTTACACATTGCAATCTTTTTAGTTTATTTCCAAAAGAGAATGCTGGAACTCTACAATAATTATAACTATTCATTTTCATCTTAGATGATGATTAACAGTTTGCCAATTAAGAGTTTACCCTTTACAGGTTGAGATAGTTTTGCGATTGTCATTTTTCTGTTGCATAAAGCCAATCTGTTTTAAAATTCTCTTGTATCCATTGTTTTTTTAGTGGTCTATGCTTTCTCTTTTCATAGAAACAGTTCCTTGTTTGGTAATTATTTAAAATTTTATGAACCTTTACTGATTCTTTTCATAATTTCAACAATATCACAAATGGATTGCCAGATTCTTTCAATCCAATAATTATTCCTTTATCACCTAATGATAGCTGCAATCTCCTATTATTAAAAGAAATTTTTCTACTAAATCAAATCAAAATCTATGTTTACCATAAAAGAATTATTCATATCACTGCACTTTTGGCAATTTCAGTTTTATTTATGATCCTAGAAAAACAGTGACAAAATGATAAGCTGATAACATACCACCCTCCTAATGTTAAAACATTAATCTGCTAAACAGTTTAAAAAGGAACAAATACATAACATCATTATATTAAAACTACCAGCATATATATATATATATGCTGGTATATCAATATATACCAGCAATATGCTATCAATATATATATATATAGCATATTGTTTCATGTAAAATCTCAAAATAATGTTGACTATTTTACAAATTATAGACATTTAAATTAAGTAAGAATAACTTTATATTTACTATAAAGTTGTATTACCAGTAATAGCAAGAGAAGGAAGTGAAAAAATTAATTTTTTCAGTAGTTCTTGCAAAATTGTAAATTTTTAAAATGAAAACTGAGATAACAAATGGCAACAGATAATGTTTCAGAATCAATCTACAAAAATAAATAATTTCGTACAATCCACACAAAAATTTTCATTCCTAAAGAATGTCAATTGGAAAGTATGTACTTCAGACGAACATTTAAGCAAAATATCAATCGATTACTCACAAATCACTTCTTTCTATCAACAATAAACATGTCATAGAATTACAGCAACAATTACTTCTCAAGTAAATCAACATTATTAATCATTAGCAGAAAAATAAGCAAATATTTGCCAAACTTATATAAAAAATAAGTTGCCATTGAATTTTTATTGAACTGGCAAGGAAATATTACTATATTCCAATTACTGACCTTGAAACTATGATTATGTGAATTAAACCCATAAAAAAGCAAATCGGCACAGAGATCAAAAATAGACAAAACAGGTGGATAGATACATCGATATATCACTTATTTGGTTTGTACCCAGACATGTGCAATATAATAAAGGGCTACTGTGCTAGAAAAATATCAATACTCTTTATAATATAGAATATTTACAAAATAAGTGATTATTATTATTTTAGTTTTCAGGAATAGAAAAAGCTTATATTTTGGCAACTATAAATAGAAATATTGAATAATGATAAAGTTTATAATAAATTCTGCAATCATTTTATTCTTACTATCATTTAGGCGTTCCAAAAAGAATGTTACCATTTTAAATTATATTAATTATTATCTGAGAAATATGCAACATATACCAGCTGAGAGAGTAACTGTCCGAGTTTCGTCTCCCATGTGCATTCAAATATTTAGTTGTCTACTATCTCTAGGAAGCACCATAAATGAAAATGGCAACTTTCTATAGAGAAGGCGTTTTGTGATCTGTGGTTCATAAAGTTGGAATTACTTATCATTGTGCAACATGAGTAATCTGTAAGAGCTGCAGAATTACGGCTGTTTTGGGAAGAGTGACAGTGAAAATGCCATGGTAATTGTAGGAAGAATTTGCATCCTGGCCGAATGTGTGCTGTAGCATTCTTTTTGGAAGTTAGGACCCTGTTTATAGTATTTTTATCAAAATTAAAACAAATTTTAAATACATATTTTACTTTATAATTAGAAACTACTTTTAAAACTCACAGCATTTTGTATCAGTTAATAGATTATTGTTCGGTCGATATTCTTTTAATGTTTATACATACAGTAAAACTTTGTTCATCTTATAAGCTAAATAAACTTTTAAGAAATAAAAATAATAATTATTATAAATATTTTATTATAAAACACATCAATTTATGCATGTTAAAATCAGATATATATACATATATATTTTTAATAAATATATTACCTTAATAGTGACATTTCCTTTTGTTACTTTCCTCATATTAAAACCCACAGTGGGAATCATATCTTCACAGAATTGACCAGACTATATAAAAAAAAATTTTAAATATTTTATAAGTATTATTTATTTCTATTTTAAGAACTAAATTATTAATTCATAATACGTAAAACATATACCGTAATTTTACAAACCGCGATTGACAGACGCGTAAAGTTCAAGAGTAACATTAACACAAACCAAAATAAGCATAACATTTGTTCATCATACAATTCGAATACCATTATAATTATCATTTTTAAAATAGGCAGAAAACACTTAAATTGGTCACTTAGGTGAGATATTAAGGTTACAACCTTGATATTTATACGATTTACAGTTTATATAACATGCCCTCATCATTAACTAGCATTAGAATGAGAGGTGATGCTTAACGGAGAAAAAAAAGCAGATGACAAATCAAATAAAAAGAGTATTTCTCGAGTTGAGTTCGAATCCTATGTTTGTACACAAAATTACAAATTTAATAAAGAATAAATAATAATCCTCAAGAACCGAGAGTCAATATTTTGTCAACCACGAGTGAACCTTTTTCTTTTTTTGACAGATGCAATACGGGTCAATATAGCATTACAATATTAGATGATAATTATTTAATTTATGCAAAAATAAATAATCTTATGAATGATACACATTAATAAAAAACTATCCTAAGAATGTTATATAACAACATATATATTATTATTCCAATTTTTATTATATAATATCAGATGTTCCGTAATTTGTAACAATCTTAAAAGCAATATTGATAATTAATGGAATATACAGGATGTTCGTAAAGTTACTGTGCAGTGAGAAATTTGTAACACTAAAGTTTCTTATATGGTATTGCAAGCAAGAGTCTTGTATGCAATACCATACATATAACTTTACTATTACAAATTTCTCACTGCACAGTAACTTTTCAGATATCCTGTAATACATAATGTTGTAAATCAAATAATAAAAAATAAAAATGAAGCAAATCAATCAATATTTTGCTGCTTAATGGCATGATTTTCCCTATACAATCTCCAAGAGAAAATTTGTTTTATTTCTGTCATATCAGAAATCAGCAAGTTTCACGACAGGATATCTTTACAGATCTCGAATAACTTTATTCCAAAACCATTCAGTCGTATTTTACTATTTAAAAACAAATTGCAATTACATCTGATCCAAGATGCAACGATTAGGATACAGAAATAGTTCAACCACTAGTTTAAATTTTTATCATTACGTCCAATCTGCATTTAAAAATTAAAATTTTGTTAAATTAAACAAAGCTACTACAGGATTACGTATTCACATTTCTCGTACGATATCACAGGCATCAATAAAAGTATTGACCACTTAATACTGTATATCATAGAAGATTTGCAATACTTAGAAAATAAAATAAATATATATTAATTGCTCTAATATGTTTATGCAGTTGATGAGTTACAAATCTCTACAATAAAATTTTGACCCCTATATTATCAGTTTATTTACTAATTGAAGTATGAATCAGTGTTTAAAGTCTGGAATTAAAATTTTATAATTGTTTTTAAGTTATTTCAAATGAAATAAGAATAAATTTTAACTAAGACTGCTTAAATATTATATATAAATAATTTTATTGTAGGCAAGTATACTGATTACTTCAACTGATTACATCATAAATACATAAGTCACTAATATAGACAATGTCATACCTTTGTTTGAATTAAGAATGTTCTCTCATTGTATCAACATTTTTAAAACAAAAACAATTAAATTATTATCCCTTATTATAAATATAAATAATTCTCATTCATTAATTAATATGTAAGGAATGTATATATAACTAACTAACTATTGTTCCTTACTAAAAACAATAAAAATAGTTATTATGTAATGTGATTAATATTATGTATATATTAATCACATTACATACACAATAATGCAATTTATTAATCAATAACTATATTAATAACAATTATTATTACTTAATGATACATACAAAACCTTACATAATAAATTCGGCAAATGAAGTCACTACTACTTAATAGATAATATCTAAATACTACTAAATGGAACTTATTCAGCAACCTTCCTCTCATACTTGTGTGTTAAGTCAGCAGGTTCCAATGTACTCCCATTCCTATATGCTATGAAATGTTTGTTTCCTACATGATGTTAATTTTGAGCAGTTTGCAAACGTGGCATCTTGTTTCAAACTTAGGAAGACAGCTATAAAAACATGAAAACATGCATTTGAAGCAAACAAATAGGAAGATCAGTGCTATAACTAGAAAGATGCAATGAGTGCAAAAGGCACAGGGACCAGGATAAAAAAAGACACAGAAATGGGGTATCAAAAAGTAATTTATTGTGACACTGTCACAATGCTGGGCTGCAATTTTTAATCCCTAATTTAAATAAATTATATGCTCTCATCTCAAATTAGTACTGTAATGTCTTGCCCCCGTACTTCATACTTTTACGTTAACAATGGAGTCGTGACAGTCATCTATCTAACACCTTTCAGGGTGAAATTTTTGAATTGAAATAACATGACTTCCAGTTTGCATTGGAAGTTTGTATATAGTTAATCGGGGCCTCCTGTCCCTAAGCTTTTCAATATCTGGTCTTGTCTTTCATCTATGTAACTTTGTTCTATAGATTAAGGAACGACAAATGACAGTGGGAATTTATAAGTCTACAGTTTTTGCAAACTGCAGCCCACTAAATCATGCATACATAGCTGGTGACCAAACTTAAAAATGTCAGAAAGATGCTAGAATATAAACTATTCAAAATAACAATAACACTAATTTCATTGATTAGTAGTATTTTATTTGTAAAAATCTTGTTTAGATAATGCTACGATAATTTATGTTTGTGTATTTATCTCAAATATTTCACTTAAACAAACATGTTTGACAATGAACATTGTACGTATAGAGTATAAGCATTTTAATTTTTCGTCTTTATTTTTTTGTTTAATCGGAGAAATTTAACTTTCATAAATTTATCATTTATATTAATATCACGGTATCTGTTACCAAGGAAAAAAGTGCACCTTATATTTGAATAAATATGGTACACAAAAAATAATACGAGTGTTTTGATAACAGAGAAATTACAGTATAACCTTGATTTAATGGACATCAAATTTAACAGACAAAATTCCCAGTTCATATGTCGTATGTAAAAATTAACACCCTATTAATCTTAAAAAGCTTTTTATATGTAATTAAATTAACAGGTTATATTCTTTCCAAATCCAAAAGTCACCATTCTTAACTTCCATCACAATGAGAGTGTCTCAATATAATCATCATCTGAAGATGAATAAATAGGACACATTTTGTGTTTTTGTCAAATTTAAATTTCATTTTCTTTTTAAGAACATAATCTATTTGTTTAAATACAATTAAAGTGTATTTTCCAAAAAATATTTGTTTATTTATTTCAATTTAGATCATATACTTGTTTATTACAGTCTTAAGAGTAAAGTATGTAGTACATATGCAATTATACATATATAAAACTTTTCGGTAAGATTAACTTCTTATATATACTTAATTTTAATTACACAAACATATCTACATAAGTAAAAACAGATAAACTAACTATTCTGTCAATTTTTTAACGTAGGCATTTGGAAAACATACTTTATTATATAGCGGACTTACGGCTTAGTCCGAATAAGTCCATTAAATTGAGGTTTTCCTATATTTCCAAACACATTTTGAATCATAAATAATTCTGTAACTCTATAAATTTAAATATGTTAAGAATAAAAAAAATAAATAAATATTTTTATCATCTCAACAAACATCAATTTCAATTACGTTTGGTTTTCAAATTTTTCATCCTTATGAAATATAAATTTAATTCATAAAGATTTATATTATATTACAAATAAATATTATCAAATATTTTTAGTTTAATCTCTAACTGAACAAATCTTTAGTCTTTATGGGATAAAGTCTATCACAATTTATTACTTCAAATTCCATAATTCACGAATAAACACAATTCCAAAGGACATTGCATTTATTCATTCAAATGTCTCTAATAAAATAATTTTTGATTTATATAAACCTTTAAATCTACATTAATAAATATATTAACCTACTTTATTTTACTATAAAATTAGACAACAAGGAAAATTTGAACTTTTGTTATAATAATATTTTCCTTTATAAAAAAAAAACAGATTTTATTTAGAAAGAATTTCAGTGTTAGAATAACAAATTTTATAAACAAAATTAAAAACTATCAACATACAATTTAACTGAATAATCACTTTAACATAATTTATTATAACAGTGAACCACCATAAGATAATTTATGCAATAAAACCAGGCTACAGAATAAATAAAAGTCTAATTTGTTCTATATTAATTTTCTAACACTAAATCTAGACTAAATTCTAGATTAGATATTAATCGTAATATTTTAAAAAAAATTTACTAAGTAAGAATGAAAGAAAATCATTAAAGGAGCGAGGATAATTATTCAGATTACGCACTTTTCGGGATTTTCATTAGACGTTCTGACAATTTAAATAGAACAAGTGTTCGTTCAAACAACATTTAAACAAATTAACAGATATATTTCCCTCCTCGGTTTAAAAAATGTTTGAATGTGTAATGTTGGTCGGCTACATTAAATGTTCTGTTGAAATTGTCTGAATGTCAAATGCTGTTGATCTGAAAGCAGAATTGAAAATCTCAAAATGCGATTAATCCAGATAATTATCCCGATCCTTTAACAGAAATATTATGAGGACTGATCATATTCCTCTGAAATCAAATTAATTTCCACTGAATTTACGAATTTAATATGGAATAATTTTATCATCATAGGAAACAATTAATTTGATTAGACATAATTCAAACCAAAAACTCATTTTAAATTAAATTAATAATTGATCTATTAAAAAATAAAATTCTTAAAACATTTTAAGAGTTAGATCATGAGAAATGTTAAAAAACATGCTATTTCTATTTACACATTGTAAAATTTTGTCATATTACAAAATATTTTTATTACTCTTAAAATATTAACAAGAT